CTTTATCGAATGATCTATTTGGAGTAAATTTTGATTTTGTCAAACCAGAAATATGTGTGGTTCTCTGGAAAACTTCGGAGCTTCCGATACTTCCAAGTTTTTGAGGTTTAGTAAAGATTTTTTTCTGTTTACAAAGTACACCGTCGTGTAGAAAACAATTTTCTCTATTGAATGACATATTACTCGAAATATTTTGTATTGAAATAACGGCGATATAAAAGAAAAAATACAAGTCTCCAAATACTTTTTTTGTTCAGAAATTCAGATGGTTTATGGAAACTCTTTTAAAATTTATAGAAAACTTCTCTACTATTTTTTTTTCTTGTTCTAGAATAAATTAGAGACCATGGGCTATCAAATGATATAATTTAGGTTGAAAAAATATTCTTTCTTGATTGCGAAATTTACTCTATAAAATATATATCACAAGTATCCAAATACTTATTTTACATACTGTATATTTTGACCAGTACTGTATATTGAACAACAGAATGTTTGTTTAACTTTTTAATAGTTTCGTTTTGCTGATCGACTTGATCTTATCATGATATATCTCGGATTATGTGTCGTCTTAATATATAACCTGGCCCATGTAGCATTTTTAGTTATTTTTAGTCGACTGACCAGCGTATTTGCGGCGCAATCGTTTATTGGTGGATGCCCGCCACAGAAAAACGCATCGGTTACTGTTAACAACAGTATAAGATATCCATGGAATGCTGAACCAAATATTTTCAACTATGATCGATCGCAAAAGTAAGTATTGATCACAGATGTTGATGTATTCCAGCTTCTTTCCTTATTTACTGTCCATTGATTTCAGACTCTGCCCAAATGGCAGTACCATCTCAGTGTCACTATTGTCGTACTCTACGGTCAAACTTCATGAAGATGTGAGACGCCTATTATGGTGGCAGTTAAGTAAGCAGAAAAAACCTAACTTTTCATCCGTCAACAAGAAGAATGGTTTGCATTTTTAATGTATATAGTCATTGGTTCAATCCAATTGGTGTGCGTTGGAGCTCAATATTTTCTCTTCACTGTAGCTACCAGAAGACAGGTCTCTAGAATACGTATTCGTCTTTTACAATCACTCCTACAACGCGTATGTCACACACATTCATCTTGATATAGATATAACGGATAGGCAGAAATTAATGACCTTCTCATAGTTTTCTCGGTTCCTACATTGTTTATCATCGTTCAGATTTGTACTTTGTTTGAAACTATATCTCGTGCTATTCACGACAGAGTGATGTATTGTGAAACACAAGTGGGATGGAGTGTTGAAGTATATTCCGAGAAAAGTGATTCCTACCTGTATCGTATCCCTCAGATCGTGGCTAGGCGTGCTCAATTGCTATTTACAAAAATGTATTAAATTCAAAAATAAATTGTGGAAAATTTAAACTTAAATTTGAATTGGCTTTAAATTCGATTTAAATTCATATAAATCGGATTTAAATGGAATTAAATTAGATGTAAATTCATTTAAGGAAACCCCACCTTTCCCAGGTTTCTTGGAAACAGTTCTGCGAAAATTTTTGAAACTTTCAGGATAGATAGATCTTGATGAGTAGAACAAAAGTCGTCATAGGCTCAAAACTCTCAAATGCTTTCTTTCAGAAGATTTTGACAAGTCAAAGGTCAAAAATGGCGTAAAGTTTTCCCTCTCGCAAACGGGCACACTATTTCCAGAGCTGAAATTTATTCTGTGGTAACTAGAAAGAAATCTGGGTGTCTTTTTTTTTTCTTTGAAAAATATTGTTCCTAAAGCTTAAGAGAAGCAAAACACTGAAAGCACTATCAAAAAGTCATTAAAAAAAGCTGTTTTTTTTCGATGGCGCTAATTTTGTAAAGTCTACAAAATTTCATCCGTACAATATTTTCAAAAGACAAAAAGAGACAGCCCCATTTGACCAAAGTACCTATAAAAAAGTTTCAGCCCAATCGGCTTTACCGTTTAGGAGAAAAAGGGGAAAACTTCAATTTTCGGATTGAAAATCTCGTTTTTAGAAAAAAACCAAGAAAGTTGCATTTGTTGACTTTTTAGCATAAAATTGACCTTTTTTCGAGGTTTTAACATGTAAAAAAAAGTGGTTTAGTCTTCTTAAAATGTGCTCATTAGATAGAAGATATCTACATCTACATACCAAAGACAAAAAATAAATAACGAAAAACCTGAAAATTTTGAGTCGGAAAAGGGGTGGTCCCCTTAAACAGTAGTGTCAAACTTGAAAGTTGAATTCAAGTATTCAACTATTGAAGTTTTCAAGTATTCGATAGTGCCTCGAGGATACCTTTTAAGGGTACCTCTTCAGGGTACTCACAAGGGTATCTCTCCCGGGTACCCTCACAAGTACCTCTTCAGGATACCCCAAGGGTATCTCTTCAGGGTACCCTCAATGGTACCTCTTAAGGGTATCCTTCAATGGTACCCCTCAAGGGTATCCCTCAATGGTACCCCTCGAGGATACCTCTTAGGGTACCCTCAAGAAAGACTTCACTGTGTACACAGAGACGAGTATGGGTCGCGGCTCTTCGGGGGCGCTTCGCGCCCCCACGCTGCGATGCTGAAATAAAAGGTGTGCTAGGTGGAGAAAAGTACTTCCCCACTGAATATTCTCAGAACACGTGACAAGTGAAAATTTGAATAGTTGAATACCTGAATAGTTGAATACCTGAATAGTTGAATAGTTGAAACTTCAAGTATTCAATAGTTGAATAGTTGAATTCAAGTTTCAAATTTGACATATATGCCTTAATCGTGGCAAGCATTGTTAGGAGTTTGCACTATGTGTAACATAGTTTGTGAAAGTTTGAAGTAATTTTCGATGTGTTGTTCATTGTTTTCCGAAGATATTGTGAAAAGAATAGATAGGCGTCCTCATTATAGTCACAGTAACCCCATCATGTCCTGCATTTTAATTCCGTAGGAATAAAACTGAAAGGATTTATATTCGATGGCTTTAGTCTTCTTCTTTTTTTAAATGCCACAAAATTGTATAGAACAATCAAGTACAATTTTCGATTTTTTTTCTTGTTCTCAACTGTTTTCCTATGGCATTCTCATTCTTACATCGCTGCAGATTGTTTCAGTACGTTTTCACAGTTCATAATGACAATAGATTCGGTAAAATCATCGTCACACACGACCAGTTGTTTCAGAAAAGAAAACTAAAGCTTCTGAAAGTATCAAAATACCAGCTTCAATATTGTTGTAGTTTAAATATTGCAAGAGAAAAATTGAAAAATAAAGAGAATGAGAACTATACTTAATTGTTTCATATACTTCCAGAAGATTTGAAAAATGAAGACTAAATTCGTTGAACAAAATATATACGGTTGCCCAAAAAGTCAATGCAACTCATATTCTATGAAACCGTACGATAACAAAAGCTGCATTGATTCAGTGTAATGATCTTCGCTAGGAACCACATGTTGTCAGCGATCAAACAAACTACTTATGCCATTAGAAACATTTGAATAAATACAGAACTTGTTAACGTATGATTTCATAGAATACACATTGCACGGACTTTTCAGACAATCGTATAGCTTTTATTGCTCGGAAACAGGGAAAGGAAGATAAATGCACAGCGCATCTTTGGGAAAAGAGCTTATGTCTGAGGGATGATAAAAAATGAAGAAGTTAAAAAAACAACGAGGGACTTTTGTTGAGCTGCAACCGTTACGATGCCATGGCTATTGATTGTTAAACATGTGAATCGATTTTTTTCTTTCTTTGTCTCTCTTTCTCTCATTTGTAGAATATTTCTTATTGCGATACCAATTCGATCAGTCAGTTCAGTGTCAAACTGTTCAAGTAAGTCATTTTCTGCCAATATTTGCAATAGAAATGATATCTTGCTCTCTCATTTTATAGTAACATCGACAAAATGGGTAAAGCCATCGGCTTTGAATTATCGATGTTTCTTGCAGCATTATTTCACATTATTTCCTATGCTTGTGTTGCCATAATCAGCAACTGGAAATTGGCATTAGCTATAATATCTACAGTGCCGTTTGCTATTGTCGGCTCATATGTGTTTGCGAAGGTAGATATGATTGCTATTGATTGATTTAGTTTATATTAATTCTAAAAGATCACCGCCAAAGAATCAAGAAACGAATTGGATGCGTACTCAAAAGCTGGAGAAGTTGTTCAGGAAGTGTTCAGCTCTCTTCGTACTGTGCTCTCCCTCAATGGTGGAAAATTTGCAGAGAAACGGTAGGAAATATATCTCCTGTTAAAAGAGCTTTGTAACCCATGAATCATAGTCATGTTCGAAATTTATTGTGAATCTAGATATGAAAGCGAATTACGAGCGACTCATAGAAGTACTGTGCGAAAGGGTGCCGCGTTTGGTCTTCTCAATGGATGGATTTATCTGATAGGATACATGATTTGTTCGATTGGTTTCACTTTCGGTTTATCTCTCATGCATCACCAAGGATCTGACCGACTCAATTTCAGTGATCTTCTTGTGGTAAGTTATTCAGTTCACCAAGAAGATTTCGAAAATCTATGGATTCTTGACGTTTGAGTAGATAGTGATTCCTTTGGTACGACTTATCACTAATATTGCATTTGTTGGTCCTTTCTTTCAATTGTTGGAAGAAGCTCGAGGTGCTTTGACGCCCGTTTTCCGATTGATCGATGAGGTACAGTTATACGTAATGTACGATCTTGTCTCTCCACTATTGCATCATATAGGAAAAGAATACAAGTATGAATGAAACACAAATATCTCAAGATTCGGTTTCTTCTGAAGAAACTATTAGCATAAATGTTGATATTCAATTTGACAATGTCAATTTTGCCTATCCAGCTCGATCGGGTGTCTTAGTCCTACGAAATCTCACATTGACGATTCGTGCTGGTGAGACAACAGCTTTAGTCGGTTCAAGTGGTTCTGGTAGATATTTCGCAAAAAACGCATATCGGAGTTTGATAGTCTATAGTTTGTTGATCGAATAGGAAAGAGCACATGTGTTTCACTTCTACTTCGTTTTTATGAACCTTTATCGGGCTGCATTACAATTAATGATCGATCGATCAACGACTACGATTTCAAATCACTCCGACAGCAGATTGGTGTTGTCAGTCAAGAACCTGTACGTCTGTCTCTTTGTTTTCTGATTTTTTGCGCTTTATACTGTTTAATGCAGGTTCTCTTTGCCACAAGCATCTATGAAAATGTTCGCTTTGGTAAAGAAAATGCAACAAGAGCCGAAATTGAAGAAGCAGCACGTCAAGCCAGTGCACACGATTTCATTATGCAATTACCGAATGTTTGCATCAAATGATCTTCTCTAATATGATGCATGATGTTTTCTGTTTTCGTAGAAATATGACACAGTTGTCGGTGAACGTGGTGTTCAGTTGAGTGGTGGTGAAAAGCAACGTGTGGCTTTAGCTCGTGCTCTTGTCAAACAGCCTGCCTTGCTTTTGCTGGATGAAGCAACAAGTGCTCTTGATAATACCAATGAAAAGATTGTCCAAGAAGCACTCGATCAAGCATGCAAAGGTTTGCACGTATCTTTCTGTTCCAATCATACCATGTAAAGTTACTCGTAGGTCGGACGACTATTGTGATAGCTCATCGTTTGTCAGCAATTCAAAATGCACATAGAATTTATGTTTTGGATAATGGATGTGTCATCGAACAAGGTACACACGAGACACTGATATCACAGGAAGGAAGTCGATATTGCGAGATGATGAAAGCTCAAGAGACAGAAGAAAGAGAAAATGACATCGATGAACGAACGAGCATCGCACAAATCGAAGATGATGATCAAAAGCAAATATGTACGTACAGACTTTAAAAAAAAGAATACTTTGAACAAGATAATTTGTTTAAATTAGCTGAACGTTCTCGACATCGAAGCCATAGTGAACTTGACGACAAGAATAAAGTAAAGAACATGGATTTACTTGTGTCCAGATTGTTTTTGCATGTACAATTTTTTTTGAACAGGCATCGTCAGATAAAAATCACCAACCTATTTTCTTGAGACTTTTGCTGATGAATAGTCCCGAATGGATCATTATTCTGATCGGCTGCGTGGCCTGCCTCATAGTTGGGGCAAGTCAATCCATCCATGCTATTCTACTCTCTCTTACAGTATCTGTAAGTGATTTTCACGCACAGAAAAAACAGAATTGTCGTTATCGATTGTTCACAGACATTTGGAGCGTGTACCTACGAAGAACAAAAACATCAAATTTTGAAATTTTCCCTTCTATTCTTGTTGATGGGTATTTTCCTTTTGGCTATACGTTTTATTCAAGTAGGAATATATTGCATAGAATGTTTTAAATTTTCTGCATTAATAGTACACTGCGTTTGCTATATCTGGCTCAAAATTGGCCGAGCGTATCCGCATTAAAGCTTTTGCGCACTATCTGCGTCAAGAATTAGCTTTCTTTGATTGTCTTGAAAATAGTTCTGGAGCTATTTGTAATCGTCTCTCATCCGATGCGTTGGCTGTTCAGCAGATTGTTGGAAGTTATCTAGGCATTGTTTGTGAATCAGTTGCGACATTTGGAATTGGTATTATTATTGGGTTCTTGTTCAGTTGGCAGTTGGCATTAATCGTGCTCTTTTATATTGTCGTTTTGTTTGTTGTTGCTTTCATGCAAATACGTTGGCAAGCACGAATGAACAAACGTTGTGATTATGTTCTTGGATTAGCAAGTTCAGTAAGAGGGACATGTTGATTAAAATATCATATATAGTGAAATATTGATGCTGAATCTTGTCTTCTTAATAGTTCGCGGTCGAAATCATGCACAATATTCGTACGGTGAAACAATTGGCAAGTGAGGCACAATTTCTACGTCAATTCTCAAATTCACTTCTTGAGGAGTTCAAGTCAGTCTTTCAAGAACTTTTTTCCTTCGTCTCTATGCAATATTTTTCCATAGAATTCGTCAAAATGATACAATAATATCCCTCCTACTACAAAGTCTCTATTGGGGAACGAAACCATTCCTCGCGTTGGTTCTCTTTTGGCAGGCTCTCATTCTTGTTGAACACAAAAAACTGAATATGATCAACCTTAATATGTATAGTAAAAAGCTTAAAGACCTAAGTTATTTTATTTACATATTCTTCTAGAGTGTTTGTCTACAACATTTTCGCTTTGGAATCCGTACGATGCATCACAATTTTGTAAATAATTCCATCGATCAACTTTGATTCCTCAAGCATTTTATTTAGGACACGACATTTGAGCGACTCATTGTCAGCAGCTGACAGTTTCTTCAATTTGTTCGATCGAACATCAGCTATCGACAATAGTTCCGTCAATGGTCAACAATTGGTAAGTGATTTATTTCACTAAACTCTCGGCATTGAAGAGAGCTCTCTTATCTAATTGTTAAAATATGTTGATGACAGAGGGATTTCCAAGGCAAGATCGAATTTGATCAAGTCAAATTTGCATATCCATGTCGGCCGACATCCTGCATTCTTAATAAACTTCAATTGACCATAGAATCTGGTGAGTTTATTGTGTATATTTTAAGTTTAGTTTGTGATTAAATCTCTGTATTTGTCAATTAGGCCAGCGTGTGGCCCTTGTAGGTATGTAGAAGTTAGTTGTGGGTCATTCAAAATCATCATATGATCTATATACAAAGGTGCATCTGGCTGTGGCAAATCGACAGTTATTCAGCTCTTGGAACGATTTTACGATCCCGTACAGGGTCATATCGTAAGTATTTGTGTTCTATGTTGCAGAGGTGGGCGGGGCATCGATTTTTGGCGCCCCGCGGGATCCGCCCAGCTGCGTTCGCCAACCTGCCTCGCCGATCCCCGTGTGTAATTTTTCTTGGCGTCCCCGCTCCGCCCATGCGCCGTTCAACTTATACCCCATCCCGCCGGCCCCGTTGATTATTCGACGGGCTCCGCCCGGCACCCGTGAAACCCGAATAAAATTTTTCTTCATCCTTTATTGTATTTTCAGTGACTTATTCTACATAATTAATCAAATTACTACAAAAAAAATTTCAGGCAAAGTTTATACGTGAATCTTTGAATGAGCTGCAGCCGATCGAAGCAGTATGATGTCATCGAATGCCTCTTGTTCATATTCAAATTTTGAATATAAACAAGAGGTATTCGATGACATCATACCGTCAAATGATTCATCGAATGAAAAATCATGTAATGAGATTATTGTTATTGATAAGAGAGTAAATCGATTCCAAATATTAATTTTAAATGTCAAATGATTTTTTGTTTGTTTTTTTCACGTGTTAATACAAATAAATAATCGAAGTTCAATATAAGAAACGATAAGGAAAGGAAGAAGCAAAGAAGAAACAAACTTGTAGCTAGTGATTGACCAAAACTATAACACGAAAGCGAAAGAACGAAAAGAAAAATTCTTAAGACTATGGTGTAAGTAACACCATTTTTCTTGCCTTTCTGTATCAAAATTACGGAATCACATATATCTTATTCTCATTGCTAAACACGGTGTTTGTAATTTCTTACAGGAAGGAAAGAAAAATTACGTTTTACTTACACCATAGTCATAAGAATTTTTCTTTTCGTTCTTTCGTTTCTAACATAAAGAGTTTTGGCCCATCACTACTTGTAGCTATTAATAGGATGAAAATAATGAACCTATCAAAATGTGCTTCGTAGTGCATACCTATGATAAGAACATTCATCGATAATTTTTCATGGTCCTCCATCGTGCCCCGCAACAGTTCTCTACCCGCCAGAACCCGTGCATATCTATCCTCGCCCCGCCCGCACCCCGTATTTTTTTAAAATAGTCTTACCCGCTTCGCCCGCTCGTATCTTCAACAAAACCCGTACTCCGCAAACCCCAAAGAACTAAAAAAAAATGCCCCCCGCCCCGCTCGTGCCACGTGGCCCCGCGGGTTGAAACCCGTGGACCGCCCACCTCTGCTATGTTGTCAAAATATTCATGCAAACACTCGGCTAACGAAATCTAGCGTCTCGATGGTGTTGATATTCGACAGTTGAATATTCAATGGCTTCGCTCAGCTCTTGGCCTCGTTAGCCAAGAGCCTACCTTGTTCAATTTGACTATTGCTCAAAACATAGCCTATGGTAAAGAGAATACTTCGATGGAAGATATTATCGATGCAGCCACCAAAGCCAACATTCATAATTTTATTCAGCAGTTACCTCAAGTAAGTAAAGAATAGCATATGATATTTTATTATGTCTTCGCACTGTGACAACAGGGCTATGAGACTAGAGTGGGTATGAAAGGTGGCCACTTGTCAGGTGGTGAGAAACAACGCATTGCTATTGCTCGAATTCTTCTTCGTCGACCAAAAATATTGCTATTAGATGAAGCAACAAGTGCCATGGACTATTACAATGAACAGGTTCGTTTTCTTACAATGTTCATTAATTAAATAGTCACTTCTGATATATTTAGATCGTGCAAGAAGCTCTTGAAAAAGCTGTAACAGAAAATTCAACTTGCACTTCACTGATCATTGCTCATCGTCTGTCGACTATTCGTTCGTGTGATTTGATCTGCGTTCTTCAGAAAGGGTACCTGGTAGAAAGTGGTACTCATGTAGAGTTAATGGAGCGATGTGGAGTCTACTATCATATGATTGTTCGCAGTCCTATTTTATAAATTCACTTCGTTATTATTTTAACGAAACTAACTAACCATTGAAATAAATTATTTTCATTAATTAGAAGGCTGCATCAAGCACTGTCATAGTTATAAAACACAATATCCGAAAAGTGAAAATGTTTAGGTTCCAAAATAGAATGAAGATTCTCGTTATAATTGTTTCTATCATATTTCAGCAATAAGACATATTGTAGAGAGTTATTTTTTGATCAAATCACAATCAGAAATATCACGCTATATCTCAAGAACACTGAAGGCTAACAATTTCCTTGTGCAAATGTGGCGTATGGATATTCTAAGTAGCAGCACTCACAGCTTAACTCTATCGACATCCTATCTAGTCTAAGATGATTGATGCTTTTTCCGATCTTTATTGAATTTATTCGCCGCTCTGAGAGTTTCGAAGTATTATTTCATTTTTAGATTTTAAATGAAAAGAATATAATACAGCGTGATATTAAACTTATCTTTAGTTTTTTCCCCCTATCGAAGTCTTTTTCAATTGATTCATTCTTTTTTTCATTGCTTTTAAATATACGAAATGTGTGTTCTTAATTGGAACCGGATTTTCTTATGCTCATGTTCCGTCTTTTTCATCTCTGTAAAAGAGTAAGCAAGTAAGCTCAAACCGTATGATTGAGTAGGCAAGTATTTTTGTGTATGTATTAAAGAAAACATTTTCTCAAAAAAAAAAGTGGAGAAATACTCGAGTTATGAGTGGTACTTATGTAGAATGTGGTCAATGGATGGTGTTCTGTATAGGTGTAATGTCATCCATAAGAATGCCAATGCAAAAGTTGCATCAAATTAGAAAGTACTAGTGTAAATGCATAGAAGAACATCTAACATTATAAAATCGTCCTATCTCTTCTTAGAGACCTCAACATTGAGCTACGTATCCGCTAGAAAACTCATTCCTTACAC